TGCTTGGGGATTTTTATTTGACGATGATATGGAGGTAGGGCCAGGTAAGACTATTAGAGTCAAAGAAATGAAAATTATGTACCTTCCCATGTAAACCGAACATAAAACGATGAAATAAAAAGCTCACACTTGTGCTGAAATGAAAAGAGTTTCATTCAAGACTTGTGTATGGTAATATTCAGGGCTAGTTTGTCCAAGTTGAAGTTTTAAGGTTTTACCTGGGGGAGTTGCTGGTTTCCTGAGCTGATCCTCCATCACTATGTGTCACAGGGCTTTATGTACATCTGCCAGCACCTTAAACCCTGCCTGTTTGGAGAACAGGGTTCAGTGAGATGCCATGTGGCCAGCACTCTCTTCCCCACTAAGGAGGCCGAAAGGCACAAGATGGGCAGCGTGTGGACAGAGGCTTGGGTTTTGCAGCTGGCTGCACTGAGCACCGGGGCTTTGACTGTGCAAGGGGTGAAGCCAGGATGCTGTATCAGTACAAGTTTATGTCCAAGGAAGGGCAGAGGTAGTGGCAAGGGTTCTGGGGTAGCAGCGTGTGGTGTGGCCTGGCTGTGCACTTGGCTACCTATGTACCTGCTTGGCTCCTGCCTCTCCTTCAGATGTGCCATCTGACATTCCTCCAACACATCCCCCTTCTGCTTGAGATACCCAGACTCAGAGGCTGTTTGTACAAAGAATCCTAATGGGTGTGTGGGGGCCCAAGAATGGGGAGAGAGGCTACAGGCAGCCAGGCAGCCAGAGAGCTTCAGCAGACACGTGGGGGCAGAGGCGGAGAGGGCCTCAGGAAGGGAGAGGCTGGGGAAAGACAAGGCACTAAGGAGGAAGGGTGGACAACTGTGGGGTCAGGAGTGGGAAGAGTCGTGGGTGACCCCAGCCTTGATGGTGGACACTGGGAACAGTCTGTGGGTGATTTCATGAAGGGCCAAGAGTGTGCTCCTTAAAATACCACCCTGACAGGAACCCATGACAGGGGCAGTTGGGAATGTCAGCAGGAACATCAGAGCTGTTGTGTAACTTGGAGCTGGGCAGAGAGAGTCTGCCCCCTCCCGGGGAGAGTTCTCTCCCGAACACCAGGCACAGAACCAAATTCCCCTGCTCTGGGACTTTGTACTCATCCTTTGAAATTAGGACTTTCATTCATTTTTATCAAGATCTTGAAATGTGGTAATAGAGTTACACCAATGAATAGCCCAGCACAACATGGGAAATATAATAAACGTGAGAGCAATAAAAGGTGGAGGACCAGCCACTCTGCACTGATACAACTCGGACAGAATAAAAGTAATTATCACCTGCCCAACCTGGCCAGCCCACTCTGTGTGTGCAGCAGAAAACCATTTCAGAACTTTGTTTCCTATATTGAATGTCGATAATTGGGTGTATTTATAAGTCTCTCTGGAAGAAAACCACTTGTGATTTCAAGATGAGAAAACAGTCTCCCAAAAAGTGAAAAACAATATATTCCCCCTTTTCACACACACACACACACACACACACACACACGCATGCACGCACACACGCGCACGCACATACACGCACAAAGAGCTTGTTTTCGTCGATGTTTTTAAGGTGCTGTTGGAATGATTTGCCTTTCTGAAGCCACCACTCCATTTATCATCTTGAATTGCCTCGTAGACCCTGGCAAAGCACTCAACAGGGACCACTTCATCTGAGGCAGTGACAGGGCTTCCTAGGCAGGAACCCGCCACCTCTCTGTGACAGGAAGATGGATACCTAGGTGGCCGGCCCGGAAGGGCAAGAGGGCAGGAGGAGTAGGGTGATGTGGGGGCTGACGGATGGCAGTGAGGGCCCAGGCGTGGTACTGGAGGAGGGAGCAGGCCCCTCTGGCCTCGGGAGTGGGAGAGCTGCGGCTCTGCTGCGGACGGTGTGCAGGCTGAAGGCTGAGCTCTGCCAGAGCCAATGGAGAGGCAGCCTGCAGGGCATCTCACTTCCATCATGTGCCTTCCTGCCCTACTCAAGAAGAGGTTGGCTTGGAACGTGCCCTCTCTCCCTCCATCTCACCCCTGCACCCCGCATCCTCTATTCTTTCTGTTCAGTCTATTTGCTGCTGAATTGCTGAGCCCTGTCTTCTAATTTCAGCAAAAGTTAAAAAAAAAAAACCCAAAAACCCCAAATGACACCCCACATGGGGTTTCACCACCTGAGGCTAGTGCCCCCCTGTAGTTGGTACAGAGTCTCTTGCCAGATCTTTCCAATTCTCTCATAGCTTGGTAGCCAGGGTCAGAGCCAGATTCCAGGCTACCTCCTGTGTGGCCCCAAAGAGCCTCCCAGCAGAACAGTGTCCTCAGTGTGCAGCAGAAGACGGATGGGCCCATATCATGGCTCCTCCAGGAGACACCCCTGCCGGGCCCCAAGGGGGGCTCATGAGTCACTCGGGCTGGTTGCTACCTTGGGCCTGCCATCTCCAGGCAACCAGTTGTCAGCAGTCTCTGGAGCTGCAAGAGTGTGTGGCTACACACCTGCTAAGCAGATGGCCAGAGCAGGGAGACCTGGCAGGACACAGTGTCTCAGGGACAAAGGTTGCCACAGGAGTTCCAAGGAGGAGCCCTCTCAGGACCAAGTTTCTTGTGGCTCTCTGGCTGGGGCAGGGCACTTCTGAAGAGTTATAATGCATGGAGTGCTGGGCTGGCTTAGCACAAACACCTCCCAGCCACTCATAGGTCACTAGGAAGGGTGACTGTTTCAGCCAAGAGCCTGTGACCTAGGGGGCGACGATGCCCTGTGAGGCCTGCGCGTGCTGCCTGGTGCTCTTCCTTGCTGATTTACACACTCTACCTCCAACTCTTTCAATGCAATCTTTCCCCAGTTGCCTCCTGGCTCCCAACAGCATCGGGATCTGCCCTGCATGAGTAACTACACAGTCTCCTCCGGCTCCCTGGACCACTTCTCCTGGGGCCACTGCCAGAGCCCGCAAGGGGAGGGGTGAGTGTGGCAGGCAGCCCTCTGTGTCAGACTCCTGTAACGCTGCAGGGCAGGCCCACAGTCCAGGTCCAGAAAGGGCGTTATGAGCAGGGCCTCCCCATTTGTGCTCATAAGCAAGGGCCCTCCACTCATTCTGTAGGTGCCCTCCCCCTATTGTTTTGTGGTGGCTAGTTAGGAATGACTTCTTTTTCATAATAACAAATACTCAGAGCTAGCAGTTGGCTTAATTTTGACATATTTGATGTCAAAAGACATGGTGAAGAGGCTGTAATTAGTTGGGATCAGGTTTTCCTTCCACAAAGGAGCATGAAAAGCTCATGGTGCTCACCCTTTGTTATTTTTAAAGTGTCTCTTTTTAGGAAATCAAGTCTCCTTAGCTAAAGGTAGAGCAACTGCTTAATGGGGGCCTCACGTTCTCTGGCACCCAGAGCCAAGTAGTGGGGGATGTGCCCCTGCTTTCCTTCCTGGCAACTGCAAGAGGGCCCATTAAGTCACCCTGTGTAGTGGGAAAGGGGAGGAAGGATGAGGGCCCCTCGTCTATCAGCTCTCCTCGTCCTTATCTGGGTCAGGAAGGTGGAAGGGCTGTCTGGAGGTGCCACCTTTCTCCTCACAGCCTTGGCCTATTTGGTGATGCCATGGGCTACAGGTACCTGGTTGTTGGCTCATGAAATCCTACAGCAGACCTGTGAGGTGGGTTCATTAGCTGCCACTGACAGATGAGGAAACCAAGGATGATGTTGGGATTCAAGTGGCTATTTTGTGCTACTCACCCTGCACAAGGTCTGGCTTGATTCCTACCCCTATTTAAGGGGACCATTCTCTTCCCAGCTTTTTGGGGACAAATAGCAGCTGCTCCACCTCATATTCCCTGGTGCTCCCCCCAGCCCAGCCATGGTGACCCGCATCCTTTTCATAGCAAAGAAATAAGAAGTAGCTCTAAACCCAAGCCCTTCAATCACAAGCTACTTCCAGCTTCAAGACAGCTGGGGGCTTAGGTCAGCAACCCCGTGGGCATCAGCTTGGCCCTACCTCCTATCCACACACATCTGTATACCCTCATATGACCCTAGGCCCCTTTCCTTCATGGAGCCAGTGTGGGTCACTACTCAGGGATGTGACTGCATGAGCTTTGCCCCTGTGTAAGCTCAGGTGGGCTACCTACATCTCTGGGTCTCAGTTTCCTCATGTGTAACATGGCATTAAAGGACAGAGCCTGCCTCTCAGGGCTGTTGTGAGGATTCACTGAGCTAACATTTGCAAAGGATTGGGGCACAGTAAGTGCTCTGTACCTGTTGACAGTAGTTGTTAGTATTAGTACTATTCTAAGGCATCTGCAGCCCAGGTTGCTGTCCTGAAACGTCTGCTTCCGGTCCCCCCAACTTGGTACCCCTCCCCCCAACCCTCTGCAGGACCCTGAATCTGATACCAGTGCCCAGCAGAGCAGAAGGGGATGCCTTCTGGTAGATTCACCCTTCTAAACTGTGCCATGCATGTGCCCACTTCTACCCAGCCTCCTCACTGGTCTCCCTGCCTCTATGGTGTTCCCTATCCTGCAACTGAAAGAGCCTGGAGAGATCCTACTACAACTAACTCCCAAGCCCCAAATTCAAGGCCCTGCAGGGTCTGAGCCTTGGCTACCTCTGAGGCTGCACTTCTCACTCTTACACCCCCTATCCTGGACACTAAACTTTTCGGTTACTTCGATTGCCCCGGGCTTTGTTCAAGCCTTTTCCATTCTTAAGCAGCTGCCCTGACCTCTGCCCCGCCTCTAGACTAGGTCAGAGGCTCCCTCTCCCAAGGTGCGCTGCCCTCCGGGAGAGCTGAGACGCCAGGTCCGGGACTGAATCAAAGTATTCACTGCCTTGGGACACTGCCTCTTCCTCTGGAAAGGGGTCTGCCCCCACCCGGGTCGCGCCTACGCTTGCAGCCGGAGCCGAAGGCTAGACGGATCATCCTCTCCGACCTGGACTCCGCCCCTCCGTTCCTGGGGAGCCCCGGCTGGGGGGCGGGGCAGGGACTCCCGGCCCCGCCCAGGCCCCCGCCCCCCGCAGTAAGAGCCTGCCGGGCTCAGCTGACGCCGCACTTCACGTGACGCTGGGGCCGGGTGGACATGGCGGAGGCTACCGGGTGAGTGCTGCTCCTGTGCTTGGCCATTGCTCTACGGCGCGGGGATGGGGCCTGGGCCTCCCGGCCGGACAGCGAGTGACAGCCGCCGCCGCCCGGCCGCGGCTCCGCCGGGCACGCTGTGTGACCGCGGGCAGCGCGCTTCTCGCCGGTGTGGCGTCCTAGCGCGGGCGGCCAGCTGCGCCCAAAGCTCCGCTCTCCGCTGTCCACTGGCCCTCGGCCACCCTGGCGCTTAGGTCCCACCCGTGCCCTTGTGGGGTCCCCACTGTGCGGCCGACGTGGCGAGCTCGAGTCCATGCGCATCTTCTCGGCCACCACGCTCAGAATGGGAAGGCGGCGTGGCCCGGGCTCCGGGGACCCAGGCGCTCCCGGGAGGGGCAGTGTTTGAGATGGGCTTGGAAGCTTCTCCCCGGCGGGGCACTTCCCCACTTCCTTCAGGGCCCAAATGTCACACCGCCTTAGAGAAGCCTTCCCTAAGCACCTCTCCTACTTTTTGTAGCCCTTACCACCACTGATAAACTATACTGTACACTTATTTTTACTTGTTTCTTTTCGTTTAGAATGTATGATCAGGGCCTTTCTCTAGTTCATTCCTGGGCCTCACTAGGACAGTGCCTTGCACACAGTAGGTGTGCATTAAAGAATGGGTGAGTGGTCCTAATGGAAGGAAGTGTGGACAAATGAGCCCACTAAAGTGTTGGGGAGATTGTCCCAGGTGAGGGAACATCCCAGCAAAGATTGAGAGACAAAGGTTGAGAGTTCAGAGTGTGTTGGAGACAGGGCAGAGTGGAGTGCAGGGGTGGGGTGCGGCAGGGGGGTGCCTCAGATGACTTCTCCAGACTTTGTCTTGAGGGTCAGGAGCCATCCAAAGGTTTAATATAATCAAATCTGCTTTTTAGACAAATCATTCCCCTGAATGGTGTGAGTTATGAGGTAGAGGGGCACAATAATAGGGATGGCATGTGGTTCTGGTGGTGCCGGTGGCTCAGACGGGCAGTGGTAGAGAAGGGGCCCTGCTCTATATGCTGGGCTGGGAACTGAGATCAGAATGGGGGGCCTGATGAACTGAATGCACCTCTCTTTTTGGGATATGGGAGAATGGAAACAGAAAATAGCCCTTCAGTTGGCCCCCAGAGTTGGGAGAGCTTGGGACATACAAATCAAACATTTAGTGGACACCTGCTCTATTCCAGGAATAGTACTGGACCTACCCTTAATACTAATGGGCCACTGGGGCAGATGGACCTACCCTTAGTACTAATGGGCCACTCTGTCATTGCCTGTCTGCCTCTGGTCTTGGTGTGTGCCTTGGAGTGGCATGGGTTCTGAGTGCTGGTGGGCTCCACTCCCTGAAGGACATTGTGCTAGTCCTTGAGCACTCATCAAGGCAGAGAACTGTGCATGCAAAGTCCCAGATGAGTGTCTAGGAACACGGGGTCAGATCTTTGAAACCAGCCTTGACCCTGTCTTAAAGAGCAGAGTGCAAAGTAAGTGTAGGCCAGTGACTGGAAGTGGGTCTGTTACCCCTATATCTGGGCCAGACAGGATGTCACAGGGACTTCCAGGGACTGCATTTGGGTTCAGGGCTCCATGCTGGCCTGAGGTCTGCTGCTCTTCTGAGGGTGCAGATGAGCCAGGCGAGTAATTGGATGGGGGTGAGCCTGTGGCTGAGTCCTGGAAGGAGGGCTCTTATAGTGAAGCTGGTTTTCTGGGCCATGGGGTGGGCTAGGCAGTGGAGTAAAACAAAGTGACAGATGTCTTGAAGAGCTGTACTATGAAAGGGAGACCTGACAGGTGCAGGGAGCTTCCAGAGCTTGACAGGGCTTCTTTGGTGAGAGCCATTCCAGGCTGGTATGGGACTGCCCTGCTGGACAGTTTGAGTTTGAGGGTGAGCCATAGCAGCTTCCTTAAGGAGATGAAGTTTTGAATGTGTTTCCAGCAAAGCCCAGTGCCCAGTGTCACACAGGACAGATCAGAGTGTCAAGTATAATGAGGTGCTGTGCCATCAAGTCATGGCCATGGTCTCCCTGGGAGAAGGTAGGTCTCCCTCCCAGCAAGTGCCATGAGACAGAGGGCCCCACAGCCTCCAGAGGGTCTTCCCTGAGGTCATCTCCACCTCACCCAGTCCCCCATTCTATGGCACTTGGTGGGCGGAAGCCTAGCCTTCTCCTTGAGCCGTGCCTTGATCTTTCCACAGAGTTGAGGCTTCTCCACTGCCACCGGGCCTGCCTGCATCCGCTCCCCAACAAGGCTTTTTCCTTTCTCTTTACTTGCCCACTCACCTGCCAGCCTGGAGTGCCCTTGTCCTCTGATATAATTGTTCATGTACTTGTAGGCCTAGCTTAGATGATTCCTCCTCCTGGGTGCCTTTCCTGACCTTCACCCTCTCCTGACCTCCAGTAACAGTGAGAACTCCATAGAGTCCCAGTCTTCCCCACTGGCAGGATGCTGTCCACTTCTGTCTGCCTGCCCATTGTGGTTGGGAGGGAGGTTGCTTTCCTTCATCCGTCTGCTGGCATCGTTGGAGTCTAGGGACCAGTTCAGTTTGTATCTCCCAGGCCATGTGGCCACCTGTGAATGGTGCCGGGTGACATGGTCTCTAATGAATAAAAGGGGATTTATTGTGAATTAGTCCAGCGTGCCATCCCACTCTCCAGGGAAGCTCTCAGTGATGAAGGAAAGAAGCTGTGGGTGGGAGGGAGGTAGAATTCTGAGTAGGATAGAGAAATAAATTTAATTCTTTAACAGAGTGGCTCCCAGAGAGCCTTTGCCTTGAGAGAAGCAGCAGGTGAGCTGCCCTGGATGTGTACCTATTGGGTCATAGGTCACACTGGTATCAGCGTTTTTCTGGAAAGAAAGTGTCTGGAAGAGTCAGGTTTGGGATCAAAGTCTGTCCTAGTATGAACCTTGCATTCCTGGAGAAGAGGTGTCAGGTTGGCCCCAGGGGCTGGGTTTAAGGGTGGATCTGTGGATGGCAGGCTGGTCACTGAGTGCCCCTTTGCCCTTCCTGGCCCTTCCCCAGGCCTGGTGCTGACTTCATACAGCCTCTCTCTCCATTCCTGTGGGTGCTTAGCCACTGCCACCCCCCCTACTCCTGGCCCTCCTTAGGAGAGAAGGAGGCAGGATGGAGGATGGCCACCAGCTGCTGCAAGGCCCCTCCAGCCCGGGTGAGCAGGCTGGCTTTGCAGGCAGTCAACCAGTGAGCTTGGTGCCCAGCCTGGGTTGGAGGCTGGCAGTGAGGAGGCAGACTGGTCCTTGGCTGGCCTCTCTTGCTGGGAGCTTAGCAGTGTGGCCCCTGTGGATAAAATCGTAATATTTCCAGAATATCTTGCCTGGCTTTAGTGCATCAGCATATCAATAGACATTCCTCAGAGGGTGAGAAAAGTCATCTCCCTATCAGTGGGTAATTACCTGGGCAATGGAGGGCTTATGTGAACCTGAGAGGTTAGGGGGAGTGCGGGTTTTGCTTCTGCTGAAGCAGGAAAGAGAGATGGCTCCGGACTGCAGTCTGTAAGCAGTAAATGGGTTTTAAACTTTCTTTCTCACTTTGACTGATTTCAGTTTTAGAGACATTTTGCTCCACGATTTCCCCTCCCCGGGTTTACAGCCCCATCCAGAAGTGGCATCGCATTCTACTGCACGCATCTTGTCTTTGTGCTGTGGACTCTGTGGACACTGGGGAGACCTTTGCACCCTTTCCAGCATGATTTTAAATGCATGAAATAAAACACAGAGGGTTTCAAGGAAAACCAATTGCATTGAAATACAGTTATCAAAATTAATTTGTTGTGTAGTAATATCTGCTTCTTTATTAACACATTAAGTAATAAAAGCAGCAGGTCTAATCACTTTAATTTTGAAGTATGGTGAACAAAAGTGGTATTTTAAGATAGTGTGATATCAGTAATATAATACCTGTTGGTAACAGATTCTCGCACTGCTGGGACTGTGTGGCTAGTTGGCTTCCTTTAATAATGGAAGAAACCATATATTTGAACAGGAGGTTAGAGACAATAAAGTTTTTTCCCATCCTGGTAGATGGAGTCCTTAAATTCTGTGTGCAGATCCCCAAGGGCCCAGGGGCCTTGGGTGAGAACCCTGTAGGTGGCCCTTCAGAGTAAAGGAGGGGGTAGCTCAGTACTGATTTGGAGGGGACAGGAGTGGGTCCAGGGGCAACCAGCCTGGGAGCTGGCCTCTTTCCTGGTCACTGGCCACTTTCTGGGCCCCAGCAGTTGGCAGTGGGTGGGTGGGCCTGTGGGGGCCAGAGCTTGTTCTGAGGGTCTTTTGGATGCCCCAGAGCCATTGTCCAACGGCTCCTGCTGTCTTTCTGCTTTGCCTTGTGCTGACAGCTGCCTGCAGTAAAACAAACCTTGTTTATGCTGGGATTTGGGGGATGACCTGGCTTTTGCCTTTTAAATTCTGGGTGCCAGTTCTTAAAAACTCCAGTAGAAACCAGTTGGAGGTGTTTCATTAGTGCTGCTCTTGCTGAACTTGCAGGAGGAAGGCACCTGTATTGGTTCTGGGCCCAAGACTCTCTCTGGGTGTTTGGTAATGCCACGAGAAATCAAAGGGCATGTCTCTATAAACCCTGAGGCTGGGCGTGCACTGCAGTAATGGATGACCACAGCACACTGGCCTGCCTGGTAGCTCAGACTGAGCTGTATCCCTCTGTTCTGGGTAAGCCCCACGGAGGATTAGGTAGATTTGTAGATTTTCTTTGCAGTAGCTGCTGAAGCTCAAAGAGAGTGTGCCTTATCAAGTTTCCTGCCTTGACCTGGGCTTCTTGGCCTGTGGGCCAGAAGGCTCCAGTCTGGGTGCCCTGAGGGGCGTCTTCTCAGAAGGTTCTGGGGGCCTTTCAGGTGGGCGTGTGATGGCACACCAGATGCATCTGGCACCTGGTGTATTAGGCCAGGGCAGAGCTGGGAGGAGTGATGGGAGATGAGGTGAGCAGGGCTGGGTTCTGCAGCCCTGTGGGCTGAGATTGGTCATCTTGGGCCAGTTACACCGTTAAGTTGCAACTGATCTGGGCAGCTTTGACCTAGGCCATCTGCAACAGGGCCTCAGTGATGTGCTCTCTGTGCTGTTGGGGAGTCTGTAGAAATGAGGTTCTTCCCTGTGCCCTCCCTCCTCCTTGGGCTTTGCTGAGTGAAGGGAAAGAGTGTGGGGGCTGTGGGGGTCTCCTTGCAAGGTTTGCTGGCAGCTGTACTTTCGGTTCCTGACAGTATGGCCAGCTGTCACCTCTGCCCTTTCATCCTTGTGGTTGAACATGGCAGGAAAGCAGCTGGCTTCGAGGAAGCCCTGGCCCCTTGTTCCCCTGTGTCCACCCTCCTGGAGGGGTGAGTGAGGACCCCTGTCCAGGGTGGGGTGGGGAGCCCTAGGTCCTGTCAGCATGTGTGGGATGTGCATGACCCCTCCACCCTTCCAGGCCAGGCTGGGCTCGAGGGCTCTGCTTCCTGCTGCACTGGAGCTGATATGGCAATTTCTGATCTGTCCAGCTGTGTGTGTGGCCCCACATTGTGACAGTTGTTCGCTCAGCAAATATTTCTTGAGAACTGATGTGTGTGAAGCAGGGTACTAGGGCAGCTGGACCAGAGCAGACCCAAATTTGTGTCTCCATGGGGTTTATTTTAGTTGGTGGGGGCAGGCCACCCCAGTGATCACCAGAAGCGCACTGCATTTGTGTTAGAGGTGAAGGTGTTGGCCCAGCCAGGGACCTGGTGGAGCCTCACCCAGAGGGGTGACTGAAGAGAGTTTAGTGCAGCATCTGTGTACTGAGCTGTGGGCAGGTTAAGGGAAGCAGGGATGGGAGGGGAGGGGAGGGGAGGAGAGGAGAGGAGAGGAGCTGGTCTCCTGAAGTTCTGGGTAAGCCCCACGGAGGATTAGGTAGATTTGTAGATTTTCTTTGCAGTAGCTGCTGAAGCTCAAAGAGAGTGTGCCTTATCAAGTTTCCTGCCTTGACCTGGGCTTCTTGGCCTGTGGGCCAGAAGGCTCCAGTCTGGGTGCCCTGAGGGGCGTCTTCTCAGAAGGTTCTGGGGGCCTTTCAGGTGGGCGTGTGATGGCACACCAGATGCATCTGGCACCTGGTGTATTAGGCCAGGGCAGAGCTGGGAGGAGTGATGGGAGATGAGGTGAGCAGGGCTGGGTTCTGCAGCCCTGTGGGCTGAGATTGGTCATCTTGGGCCAGTTACACCGTTAAGTTGCAACTGATCTGGGCAGCTTTGACCTAGGCCATCTGCAACAGGGCCTCAGTGATGTGCTCTCTGTGCTGTTGGGGAGTCTGTAGAAATGAGGTTCTTCCCTGTGCCCTCCCTCCTCCTTGGGCTTTGCTGAGTGAAGGGAAAGAGTGTGGGGGCTGTGGGGGTCTCCTTGCAAGGTTTGCTGGCAGCTGTACTTTCGGTTCCTGACAGTATGGCCAGCTGTCACCTCTGCCCTTTCATCCTTGTGGTTGAACATGGCAGGAAAGCAGCTGGCTTCGAGGAAGCCCTGGCCCCTTGTTCCCCTGTGTCCACCCTCCTGGAGGGGTGAGTGAGGACCCCTGTCCAGGGTGGGGTGGGGAGCCCTAGGTCCTGTCAGCATGTGTGGGATGTGCATGACCCCTCCACCCTTCCAGGCCAGGCTGGGCTCGAGGGCTCTGCTTCCTGCTGCACTGGAGCTGATATGGCAATTTCTGATCTGTCCAGCTGTGTGTGTGGCCCCACATTGTGACAGTTGTTCGCTCAGCAAATATTTCTTGAGAACTGATGTGTGTGAAGCAGGGTACTAGGGCAGCTGGACCAGAGCAGACCCAAATTTGTGTCTCCATGGGGTTTATTTTAGTTGGTGGGGGCAGGCCACCCCAGTGATCACCAGAAGCGCACTGCATTTGTGTTAGAGGTGAAGGTGTTGGCCCAGCCAGGGACCTGGTGGAGCCTCACCCAGAGGGGTGACTGAAGAGAGTTTAGTGCAGCATCTGTGTACTGAGCTGTGGGCAGGTTAAGGGAAGCAGGGATGGGAGGGGAGGGGAGGGGAGGAGAGGAGAGGAGAGGAGCTGGTCTCCTGACCAGTGAGGTGGCGCTGTGAGAAGGGTATCCTGGGGACTGTGGCCCTGGGTCCAGGTTCTACCAGGGAGGGAGCTGGGGGAGGAGTTCTCTGTCCTCCCAACTGTAGTCTCCTGGGGTGCCTCCAAGTGGCCACATCCACCTGCAGCTGGCTGCTGAGGTCCTCAAAGGCCAGGTCTGGGCAGAGCAGGAGGGTGGATCTGGAGGGTGCAAGCAGAGGAAACTGAGGCCAGTGCTGAGTGGGGAAATAACCTGGGGAGAGAGCTGCGTTCAAAGAGGAAAACTAGGGAAAACCAGTCCTGAGCAGGTGGCATTGGAGCCAAGGCATGCAGGAGGTGTCACCTGCTACGGTGTCCCTGCCTCAGAGGGCCCCATGACCAGGCCACAATGGGACATCCATTTGCCTGTCTCTCACTGCAGTCCCAGGCAGAACCTTCTCTCTAGCTCCAGCTCTGGGCTCTCCCCACCCTCCTCGAACCCCGGGCCCAACTGCTGTCCCCCATGGCCAGAGAACTTGCAAGGGACCCCTCCCCGCCACACCAACTGCTCTTGTCTAACTCCTGCACCCCATGGACCCAGCCCTTCAGGTTCCCTAGCCCTCTAGGCTGCTCGCTGGGACTGCATTTCCATTTAGCCAATCATTTGCACTGGGAAGGAGGCAAGGTCCCTGCCCTCATGGAGCTTACGTTTTACCTGGGTTGACAACAGGCAGGTAAACGTAATGCTGGACAGTGATGCATGCTCCAGGCAGGAACGAAGAGAGCAGGGATAAGGTTTGGGCGGGGCTATTGGAAAAACTTCTGGCAAGAGGACCTGCAGAGGCCAGGATAAAGGGAGAACCGGCAGCAGTGATGGCCCAGAGTGGGAACATTGTGTTTAGGGAGGAGCTGGAAAGACAGTGAAGGCAAAGGGGAGGCCTGGGTCCCTACAGCACTGTTCCAGGTGCACTGAAAAGCCTGGGGGCTTGAGTAGGGGTGTGCCTGCTTGGACTTGGATTTATAAAGGTCCCTGAGGATGGGTGCAGTCCAGGCTGTGGAGGGAGCTGGAACAGAGAGCAGCTGGGAGTTTCCTGCAGTTGTCCAGGTGGGAGATGGCGCTGGAGCCACAGGGTCCCCAGAGCAAGCTGTGGGACTCCAGGTTGGAGGCTGAGCTAAGGAGAAAGGGAGCCTGGAGGGGCTGGGCTGGGTTTCAGTGCAGAGAGTGGCCCCCAGCAGCCTGGGCATTGAGAGACTGAGGAGGACTGCGGACCCACTGCGGATTCAGAAGCAGGAGTGTGGGGCACTGTGCAGGGCAGGGGTGGGCCCCGGCCTGACAGGGGGACTGAGGAGAGCAAGGGACAGAGGGCTTAAGTGAGTCTTCAGAGGACATTTACCACATTCAGACTTCCTGTCACCCCAGATCACGGCGGTGGACGGGTGTGGCAGTGTTGACAGAAGCTTATGAGATGTGTACTCCTGTCTCTGCAGACCTTCATTTTGGCTGGGAAATGAAACCTTGAAGGTGCCGCTGGCACTCTTTGTCCTGAACAGGCGGCGCCTGTGTGAGCGTCTGCGAAGGAACCCGGCCGTGCAGGCCCACGCCGTCGTGCTGCTGCAGGGCGGTGAGGAGACGCAGCGCTACTGCACTGACACAGGGGTCCTCTTCCGCCAGGTGAGCCTGCCCGGCAGCTCTCACGAGCACCTTCGGTGGGCTGTCTGCCCTCCAGCATCGGTTCTGGTGGGCGTTAGGTTTCTGCTCCCTGGAGGATCCTCAACAGGCTCTCTGAAGTCAGGCCAAGGCCTAGGTGCCCAGGGAACCCACACCCGGCGAGTGGAAGTGGGTGTGGAGAGCCCTCCCAGCTGCAGCTGGGAGCAGAGCTGTTGCCAGCCACTCTCAGCTCTCTCAGGTCGGAGTACAGAAAGATGATATTCCTGAGGGAGCAAGCAGTCAGGGATTCATGGAGGAGGCAGTATTTGATAGGTCCTGAAGGCCCGGGTGAATTCTGACAGGTGGATCTGGGAGTGGGTGTTCTAGATGGGGAGATGGTGTCTACAGGAGTGGGCAGAAGAGGGTGGGCTGGGCAGCTTTCCATGGCCGGAGAGAGGTGCAGATGGGGAGGGCTGGGTGCCTGGGGCCAGATTCTACCTGCAGCAAGGAGGCGGGGGTGCTGCAGAGGTCCGGGAGAGGCATGTGAGCAGGGTGCGGAACAGGAGTCTAAGCAGGCGTTTTTCCTGACTTGGCCAGTGCTGATTCTGTGACCCTCACTGGGCTTTGGTTTCCTCATCTGGGAAGTGGTCCAGAGACTCCTCAAGGTTCTGGAACCTGTGGGTACCATAGGAAGCAAGCCTGGATGTGTGAGTTGTCTGAGAATTGCTGTCATCGCTCACTTCCCAGGGACAGCAGCAAGGACTTGACAGAGGGCCTCACCCAGTAAGGTGAGGAGGCCCTGAGCTGGTCGCCCTCCTGTGGATCCTAGCATGGCACCCATTTTACAGATTCAGAAACTAAGGCTCAGAGGGGAAATGACTTGTGAGAGGTAAAGCTGGGTTTAATTAGAACCCCATCTCCTGACTCCAGATCTAGTGCTCTTTTCCTCCCTTCATGCTCAGAGCTGGGGGCCCACACACCAGGAGCTCCAGAACCTCTCGGATCAGACAGAGCCTGGGGGCCATGGCCAGCCAGCATCCAGGTCAGGGAGGAGGCAGGGGGATGGGAAGCGGAGTGGAGTGTGGTGAGGAGGTGGTCTGGCCTCCGCAGTGGGACTGTGTCCACCCCGCAGGGCACAGGCTGGCTGAGATCTGCTGCCTAGAGTGGTGGCAGTGTTTGTCACTGAAAGCACCTCCTGCCTCAAGGCTTCCCTTTGCCACATTGTTCTTGCATCTGCAAGCCTGCCATCCCCTGGGCTAGAGACATGGAGATCTAAAAGTTTTTTTCTGACTAGTCTTGATGCCTGTTGAGGTTTTCATATTCTGCAGTTTAAAAACCGATCTCCTAAATTCAGCTGTTGGCTCCCTTACTGATGTTATGCGAAGTTAATTTTAGAAGAGATCCTCCTCCACTTCATACCTTTATAATGTTATTTTAGCTCAGTGTTTATTGCTAAACACTGAAGTCATCAACTGCCCTGGGGGTGGCAGAAGGAAGTAAGAAGTCCTAATGGAGGAGCAGATTTCTGTGCAGATGTGTGGCCTGGGTGTGTCTCAGTCAAGGTGGCATCCTGCCTGCCTTCAGGCAGTGGGGGCGGCAGAGAGGTACGAGTAGCAGAGGGGTGCGGGCAGGGCTGAGTCAGCCCTGTGGTGCTCATTGGCATGCCCTGTCAGGGGCCTAAGCGGTATAGCCAGAGAGGTGGTTGGGCACCTGCGGGAAACCTGAGATAATCAGAGAAAGCCCAAGCGGGCAGAGGAGCCCCCAGGCTTTCTGCTGCCAAATCCTGGAAGGCGGGGGCGGGCGGGAAGCCCACCGCTGGAGTGGGGATAGAGGGCTGGGGTGAAGGGGTTGTGTGAGGCTGGCGTCAATCTCTGAGAAGCAGTGAGCCTGCGCTGAGTCTCTGGGGTGCAGGAAGGAAGGCGCCTGGCCTGACTCCCTGCCTTTTTCCTTGTGCCTCATGGTTTAGGCCTGCTGACCGGGTAACCAGGGTCCTTGTTCCCACCACAGGAGTCCTTTTTTCACTGGGCATTTGGTGTCACCGAACCAGGCTGCTATGGTGTGATCGACATTGACACTGGGAAGTCAACCCTGTTTGTGCCTCGGCTTCCTGCCAGCCATGCCACCTGGATGGGAAAGTAAGGAGCAGTCTGGGCCTCGTGACTGTGCCTGTTCATCACTGGCCGGGTGGAACCGCGGGTGCTGGGCTGGCCTGTGGGTGGCGAGGAAGGAAGGAGAAGCAGGAGGGAGGGTTAGTGGTCAGGCCCATTAACAGCCTGCTCTGGGCCGTAGCCCTGTACCCTTGGTTAGGAAGGGGGTAGCCACGGAGTGTGGTCAGGTTTGTTTGCAGGTACTATTTATTAATCTTGAAATTCGATTCCTGGCTTTGTTAAAATGCCTGAGGCTTGGGCCCTAGTGGACTGTTACTCTTGCGTGGCTTCGATGGGAGGTAGCCTCTCTTTGGGTATGGTGGCTGTTGGCTCCAGTCAGGGAGGGCAGCCTGGGGCCCTCCTCTGAGGCCCAGCACTAGCCTGCCTCTAGACTAAGCTATGCAGGGCTGCATATTGTAGGCCCTGTCTCCGTTGCCTTGCCTGTGAGACAGGGTAGTGGCTCTAGGGTTCAGCTGTGTGAGAAATGTAGGACCCGAAGCCTGGGCCCTGCTGAGGGGACCCTCCCCTATCATCCATAGTGCCTGCCAGCTCCAGGGCCTATGTCCACCCCTCCTGAGAGCTCTTCCTGCCTGCTCAGAGGTGCTGAGGCAGAAGGTGTATTTACTGGGCATGCTTGAAGTGATCAGAGGATCCCGCTAAATGCTCACCACCTTCCAGCGTGTCATTTCTGCCTGGAGAGCAATTATTCTGGGCTTAATGTATAAATTGCAGCCTTCACTGCCTACTGTCCCCAAACACTCATTACTAGGTGGGCTGGCAGGTCTGTTTCTGGTTTGAATGACAAGGCCCCTGGCTGCTACAGAGACCCGCTCTGTGCAAAGCAGTCTTGTGCTTTCTCTGTTTCATGCATTGTCCTCCCCCAGCAGCCCTTTAGTGCAAACTCCATAGCCTCCTTTGTTGACTTGGCCTGTACCTCTTCTGCCATCTTGGGGTGAGGGGTTCAAGCTCATGAGTTGTTAACAGTTCGTTCTATTTGGAGTCTGCTTTGCAGGATCCCTGACCCTGGGCCCTTGGCTTTGCTTTGAAGACTCAGCCACAGATGAGAAGTGGCCCATGTACCCCTGGCTGAGCAGCCCTGGAAGGGGTGGTAGGGAGTGGACATGCCTGAGCCAGCTGGCCTTTGAGGTGGACGCTGGGCCGCCACTTAGGTTCTGGTCCTCTCTGAGGCTCCTGAGGCAGATGGGGTAAACAGTGCCCTGCTATGTCATGAGCAGGGAGGTTCCCTCTGACCTCCATGTGCTAGAAGGGTGTACTGCCTTCTGCCCAGAGGGGGGGTGGCAGGGCATTGGGCATGGCTGAGCCAGCCCAGTGAGAGCCCCCAGGGGCTCCACTGGGCCCCAGGCTTGGTTGGGAATGTGGAGGGATGGCAGGGGAGAAGGGAGAAGGGAGATGTCTGATCTGCCCCCTGGACTTCCCTGCCTGCTTTGCTGCCATGTGCCTTGTACCTGCAGAGAGCTTGGCTTCAGATTTGGCCCAGAGATGGCTCTCCTTGGTCCATTCACCTGCGGTTCCCCTTCCTGATAGATTCGTAGATCCAGGCTAGGATGAGAAGGTGGCTCTCACCTAACCCTGCTGTTGCCTTCACATCTTGTTGTGACCTTAGCTGTTGAGCTTTACTTTATTCTGGTTGAATCCTTATGACTCCCCTGCCTTACAGAGTGAATAGGCTCAGCGTGGTGGCATGGCCTATGCAGGTTGTGTGGCCTTTGCAGGACCTGTGGCCTGGTCTTGCTGGAAGCTGACCTGGTGACTCAGTGAGGCCTCTCCACAGAGTGGCCGGCCACTTCCTTATCATGGAACAGCAATGCTGCTGCTCACGAGGCACTGCTGGAGCTGTAGTCACAGTGACGGTCACCGTGGGAACAGATACACTTGCCACACTGAAATAAGGCAGTGCAGATGCCAAGGACATGTAGCTTGTAATGTCCAAAATGGCCACAGCAATATTCGTGGCCATTCCTTAAGGAGGGGTGGAATCTCCTCCCTCCTGCTTGACTAGGATCAGGACCAGGTGACTGCCTGGATGAGTAAGTGTGCCAGAGTCATGTGACTTCAGAGGGTCATGTGACAGGCTCCATGTGACTTTGGCAGCCAGACAGTAATGGCACTATGGCTTCCATCTGGTTCTCCCTTGGGACCTTTGCCCATGAACCCAGCTGCCATGCTGTGAGGAAGCCCATGCTCCCCCAGGAGGAGAGACCATGTGTAGAGGAGCAGAGGCCTGACTGTTAGCCAGTGCCGCCAGAGCAGGGACCCCAAGCCCCAGCCCTCCAGTCTTCCTGCTGAAGCCCCAGACCTCATGGTGCAGATGTAAGGCATCCTCTCTGGGTTTTGTCCCAAGCTGTGACCTCCAGAGTCTGTAAACTAATAAATTTTTTTTTCACTCTCCTATGTGTCAGGATGGTTTGTTCTAAAGCCCTGGTGAGGAGTTTGCTAGTGAGAGTTTAGATCTGGTCTTGGTAAAAGGATTCTTCCAAAGTCCTTCCTACACCCTGAGGTGATCACAGCTCTGTAGCCTGTGGCACATCCCAGGAATTAGCCAGAGTCCCTGTGCCTGGGTGGGACCCATGGTTTTGGCCTCCCCTTGGCCCTACTCAGTCAGATGCTCCACGTGGGATGTGGCCATGGACCATGAGGAGGGCCTCAGCTGGAGTTTCTGTCTGTAGATGTGGAGGGCCTCCGAGTGCATCTCCCCTTTTCTGTCTGTCTGCTTTTTATACAGAGCTAACTCTTCTGAGAAGTCAGGGAGAGCCTGGCCTGGAGGATGGACATCCTCTGGGGCTGTAGGAGGGGAGGCCAGGTCTCTGCCTCAGGGGATCCACCGTCCAGAGGGGAAACCTGAGTAAACCTCACCATGTCTCCCCGTAGCCACCAAATGGCATTCAACTTGAAGGTTTAAAACCCAGAACTGATTGGTTGGGAAACAGCCATTAGTAGTCGACTATTCTGGAGCATAATCTTTAATAATACGGGAATAAAGTTCTGTGCTTTGGCCATAGCTGGCTTTCAGACACTGTTAAAAGTTCTCCTTTAGTCAGTTCCTGCTTTGCTGAGCCAGCTGATTGCTTAATGAGGACATACTGGCATGGGTGGCATTTGAGGATTCCAGCAGGTCTGCAGGGTGGGTCCCCCTGTTGGAAAGCCTCCATGTGCATGCTGGGCAGGCCAGACTGAGCAGGTTGGTCCCAAGGTGTGTTCCAGCTCCCAAATCTCCTGAAGACATGGTTTCCCTCTCGGGCAGCCCCTGGCAGGCCTTTCCTCTACTCTGGTGTGACTGTCTCCTAGTCCCCATGTCCCAGCCCTTGAGAGAGAAGGTGTGGTTGTAACAAGGCAGTGAGTGGTGAAGGAGTTGGTTGTTCGGGGCTGGAGTTGGGGAATGGCCTTATCTGATTGTGTGTGGCTGTTTCTAGATGCTCTCATAATCAATAGAGCTCAGGAGTGAGGCTGATGGAATTACCTGGCTTTTACAATCAAAACCCACCAGACTGAACATTTGCCCTTCAGCTTCTAGTTTTCTTTTGAGCCTCTCTCTGATGGCCTTTGAAAATCCATCTGGCAGATACCGCAGTCCAGAGTTGCCCAGGGAAACCATACCCTGATCTGCGGATCTGCTGCTTCCTGCAGGAATGGCCTGCCTTGTGGCCAGGGCTGTGATGCCCAGGGGCCTGTGGGCAGCCTGGTGCCTGACCTGTTCCTCACTCCAGGCCTTCTGGGGGACAGGAGTGCGGTAGCTTCTAATTTGTTTTTATTTGGAGCGTTTGCTTGCAAAAGTCTGGTGCCTTCTTGATGTAAGGGTGTTTCCCATCATTTTCATCAGAATTAGGCTTAGCTGACAGCAGCTGTGGCTGCCAGGGTGTCTCGGGCCCTCTGAGCAGGCAGGAACTGCCTCTGATTCAACATCCTGGGCAACTTCAGCGCTGAAAGGGTGAGCATCTTGGGGCCCAGGGGGGGATGCTCCTGGAACGACTGCAGCTTGGCTGTGTTCTGCCTCTCAGGCTTGGAACGTGAGACAGCGTGCCAGGCCTGCAGACTGTGGGGAGAGGGGCTGTCCTAGTGAGGGCACTGCTCAGGGCAGGGTGAGTGGCTTTCTCCAGGCTGAGGTCCTGAGGTCCTGAGGCCCTGAGCACTGCTCTTTCTGGTACGGGAGCCCGTGTGTGTATGCTGTGTGGGGTGTATGCATCTGCAGTATGTGGGTAAGTATGTGGGAGGGTGGTGTGTGCTGTGTGTGTGGTGTGTATGTGTTGACTGTGGGGAGTGTATCATGTAGGGTATATGGTGTGTCTGGGGTGTAGAATGTGTGTGATTTTCACAGCCACTGCCCTTTACCCGGTATACACACCTGGGTCACAGGGACCAGCTGCCTTAGCGTGTCTGGTGACCTTGCCCTGGCTCCCGCTCTCTGATGACAGGTGCAGGCCTTCCTGAGGGAAGCTGAGGGAATTTCTTGGCCCTTACCAGGTGGTCTGGGGGACACCTAACCCCGAGCACCTGCATCGTCCTCAGGCAGGTGCCTGTCACAGGGCTCCTGCTGATTGTCCCTGCCCGAGCCCCCAGGCTGTCCTGCTGCCTGGCCTCTAGGAAGTGCTGCTGCGCTGCGTCACTCACGGCCTTGGCCCCAGCGTCAGTGCTGCACTGCTTTGGGGAAGCTGCTTTTCCCTCACAGGCTAATAGAAACTTGAAATGATTACAGATTTCCATTCCAGAGCAAGTGCCGGGCACTGTGCAGGGAACAGAATGAAAGGCATCAACATTGTATGTAGCTCAAGGCAGACTCTGGCTGCTGGAAATTGATGGAAACTGCTGTAATTTGGTCCTTTATTTATTCATTAACTACATGCAGGTGGTCAGCTAGCCAGCAAGACCTGCACTTGGAAATTTCATTTTAGAGAGTGCTCCATTGCGTGTGCACTGTGGACATTAACTTGATGTCTCTTTCCCACAGGAGGCCCTGCCTGGGGTGTTGGCTCTCGCGGCCTCCACCCTGACCCTGAGCTCTGAGGAGGCCTCCTTCGACCCTGCCAGCCCAGCTGCTGGTAGAGAAGCCTGCATGGGCCGGGTCCCCAGCTGCTGCTGCAGCCTCGAGAACACAGACTCTGAGTGGGGTGCTCCCTCCTCTCCTGCCAAAGCTGTCCCTTCCATCAGAAGGGACTTCCTAGAGCAGGGTCAACTTCTCCTCCAGATGCAGTTGTTTCTATTTCCCATGGGATGGGATCTGGCGTGAGCTGCCCGGCTGGATCCCAAACTCCAGATAGGGCAGGGTGCTTGCCCTAGGTGGGTTTGCAGCTGGCCATTGACCCCCAGCCAGCTCTGCAGAGCCCATGCAGACACGCCTCTCCTCCTGTCATCCCCACCAAAGCACGGCTGTGAGCCTCTGGGGGCTGGCCTGACATGGTGGCCTGGCTCACTTATCCCTAGGGGTGACATTTAAACAATTTTTACTATAATTAGTCCCAAAATGTGAAAAATTAGTACCATTCAAACTCAATTTTCTCTGCCCTTTAGAAAAGAATGACATGCAAAGTGCCACAAAAGATGCTCACTCACTGCTTTTCAGGTTGCATCTGTTAAATGGTTATTCCCATTGAGAACCAAGCCTATGGCTAGTTGAGCGATTTTGGCCTTTCAGGCCCATTGTGTGCTCTGGACTGTCAACTGACCTCCTAGCAGGCAAAGAGCATTTGGTGGGGCTGGCACCTGCCTTCATGTCCTCCTGGGCATCACAGAAGCAGCAGCAGGCTCTCCTGTGGGCTGGCTGGTCCTTGCCACCCCTTGGCTTCTGTGGCAAGTGGAACAGCTTGTGCCCGGTCCCAAAGGGCACCCAGGCAAGCACACAGCCCTGCGGCCACCCACAGGTCACAGTTGCCTTGTGTTCACCTCCCCTTTGCCTTCTTCTCCCCCATCTCCCCTGGTTCCACATTGTTAAGATCTTGACCACAGGCTGAGTACATGGCGATGTTTCCAGATCTCAAGTCTCCTAGGTCTCTGCTGAGGCCTGGCCACCAAGACTCCTGGGAAAGGCGGGTGAGGACACGTTTCCTGGCGTGTCCCTTGGTGAGGCGGCCTAGATGAGCTGGGAGGGTTAGGGTCTCTGGTGGGGGCAGAAGTAAAAAGGTCAGTGTCCAAGCTAATGGCCAAGATCCCCTCTCCCTTTGTGAGGAGCATCAGGAAGGGCCCAGAAAACAGGCCCTTGGCACTTCCCAGATCATTTGAGAGGATGCTTTTGGTGCCTGTCACAGATGGAGGTGGTGACTTGACTGGGGACCACTGGTTGTGGAGAGGAGCAGTCAGAGGGATGTGGTGATGATGCTGGCAGCCCTGCCTCTTGCCCTTCTGGCTCGTGCTTTTGTGCCCAGCTGCACGGTCAGCTCATGCGACAGTGCCACTGCTTAATGGTAAGGTCTGTGAGCTCTTTTGCTTTAAGCTGTGGAGCCAGGGCCTTAAGTCCAGGTGAGATGCTTCTCAGCATTTCCTGCCCTGTACCTGCTTCAGGTGGTGCTGATGGAGGCACCAGGCTTTGGCCATTTAATTTTTTAATCTTGTCTCAGACATGGAAGCTAACATGACTGGACTGTGCAAATTTAATAACAGCAGGAGCTTGACTCTGGTACCCACTTCAGAGAAGCCAAAAGGGAGCTAAAGTAGAGATTCTGGGGCCCTGAGCAGCTCAGGGCAGCGAGGCCATCACCTCCTCAGACCAGCGTGCCTCGTGCAGCTGCGAGCTCCCTGCTGCTGATCGCCAAGGCCCACCCGTCTGCCCCTGGCTCTGTGCTCCGCGCTTCCTGGCCGCAGTCCCGTCCGGGGTGCTTGTTTGGGTAGAGAGGGATGTGGTGCAGGGCTCAGGGGGAGTGGGGTTGTTCCCTGGGCAGTGATGCTGGCCATTGGTGTCTCAAAGGCACGTGGAGCTTGCTCTTCGAGGAAGTCATTTCGGAGTCCTGAAGTGCTCTCCCTCGCGTCCCGCCGGGCACACTGTCCTTGGTGAGCACACATCATCCGCTCACCCTCCAGAGCCCAGAGGGACAGTCTGAAAACCATCTGCTGTTTTCCCCTAAGACCTCTTTTGCACCTTAACACTTGGTGACTAGAATACCATGTGGTCACAGGCAGGATGGGGGTAAGTGCCCCCTGGGCTGATGGGGTGCCCAGGCATGGGATGGGGCAGGGTGGCGTGTGTGTGCGTCATTAGACTTGGCTTGTGACACCCTCCCCCACTTGGCAATGTACCTTTTGTGAGCTCTGTCACCAGCAGTGACACTGACTCCTCCACTAAAAGGTGGTGGGGGAAAGGGAGCGGGGGTGGGGGCT